TTATTATTATTATTATTATTATTATTATTATTATTATTATTATTATTTTAAAATACTCTGTAGTGTGATTGTGATGTGGTGTTTGGGGCACTGCGCTGAAGTAGCTTTCAAAGTTCATTATATTCGTGGAATGCGGTGACAATAAAGGTATTCTATCCTATTCTTTTTTTTAAAAAAAAAATGCAGTTCGCTCGATCAAGCCGAAGCAGATAAAAATAAAGCGATTTGTGGTTAAAGCCACAGCTGAATTTCTTCTATCGTTCTCGAGGGCAGCCGCCCCTCCGCCCTCCCCGATGCCAGGCAAAAGGGAAAGCTGTTTGTTTTCAAGGAAGTGCCCCCCACCCACCCCTGACCAAACAGAAATAATAGCTGGACAAATGTCCCCCCCACCCCCACACCAGCCAAAGAGACGGAAGGGATGGGCTGTTTTTTTCCCCCCATTAAAATCTCCCTCCAGCTACTCTTTGATGGAATGTTTCTTCGAATGAGAAACCGTGAAAAATCAGGGCCACGAAAGGGAGGCAGGCAGGGAAGGGAGTCAATTCAATAAAGGATTGCTTTTATCCTTTCCTTTGGGGTAAATTTGGATAAATCGCTTTTGATGCGGAAGTCTTACATGAACAAGACTGGTCGAAAATTCAGCGCTGGCCTTTATAACAAGAGACTCCGCCTTGGCAGGCTAGGAGCCAATCACCACCATGGGGGGGCGTGGCCACTTGGGGGCATTTATCAAGCCCCGCCCTTGCATCCTCCTGCAGTGCTAAATTCATTCTCCTATGGGACTCCATGCCACTGGAAAAGGCGATGCAAGGGAGAGGCGCTGGTTCCTTTTCCTAGAACCAACCCCCCGCCGCCGCCCGAGGGCATGCAGAACATGTGCAGAGGGCAGAGAGAGGGACTCACCGTGACCCGGAACGGGGTGGTGGATGCCAAATCCATGCTGGGATTCTTCTCCAAAGCCCCACCCGGCATGCTACGTCTCTGCCCAGTCCTTTCCGGCGGGGAGTCTGCAAATGACACAAAGAAGAAAAGAATATTGAGCAGGGGAGAGAGAAAGGGGCACTTAAGAAAGAGTGGCCCCACCTGCAAGGACCCCCCAATCTGCCCTCTCCCCCCCGACCTCCCGGTCTTTTCCACCAAGGGATTACAATGGATTCACACCCACCGGTGAGAAGGACAGATTTTCACTCTCTCTGCACACACTAATCCTACGGGAGAACCGAGGAATCATGCTTCCAAGGGCTACTCCTTTCTTCTTCCGTTCCTACTATTTGGTCGTGCAGGTCCTGTGCTTTATCCAAATTGTCTATTTTCAACCTCTTCTCCTGCCGTGTTACTAACATCCCTTTCTGGGACAAGCCATCGAAATGCTACAACTGTGTTGCCAGACATTTAAAATCTCTTCCGTACTCGCGTACTTTCTTCGGGATCGGTTTTAAAGTTTGTATCTCCTTCCTCTTTGCATATTAATGGTTCGTCCCTTGTTATTTTTATATATTATGTTCTATAATATATTCTATATTATAGAATTCTATTCTATTCCATATTCTATTCTATTCTTCCTAGCAAAGCTAACATGGACTTCTCGTGGTAGTCTATTTACGTCTCGCACAGCAACTCAGAAGTACAAAAGTGAGAGTAAAGTCAGCTGCTCAGAGCCTGCCCTCAGCGCTTTGGATCCAGCCAAGCAACCCCCTCCCCAAAACTGCCCCCCCAATGCGTTTTCCTCCCCAGTTAGGTCTCTGCTCGCTGAAGGGCTGCCAGGTCGCACGATGCCTCGGTGTTCCTAACTGTTGGTGAGGAGATTCAGGCAGAAAATAAGCCCAGCTCTGCAGCCTGGATGTAGACAGGAGCATCAAAGAATAAAAGATGACATTTCCGCCACACAAAGCAAAGAAAACCAGAGCCTTCCGACTGTTTTTCCCGCATTTGATGACTCACGGGCCTGTCATTTCCAGAAAACCAGGCCCTTCACTTAACAAAGGTCCAAATTTCTCCTCGGCTTAACTCCCCGGACTTCAGCATTTCAAATTATTTTCCCCGTCGCTCCTTTCTTCTCTCAACAGACGGGAAGGAAAAACCATTTCCTTCAACCGTCAACATACCTGACAGCTGGCACCAAATAGGATTTGGATCAATCACCAGTGAAATGGATGCAGAAATGTTTTCACGAGAATCTCTTTTTCCAATTTTAACTTGGCTCATTGATCTGGCGAGGAGGAGAAGGAGGAGGAGGAGGAGGAGGAGGAGGAGGAGAAGATGAGAACAGGAGAGGGCAGGTAGCACCTCTTCTGGCTACCCCATTTTATTAAAAGCTTTCAGGAGCTGCAACTCTATCCTTCAGGTGCTGCAGTGCACAAAAACTGGTGCCATGCATTTATTTAGTTATTAAATTTATACGCCACCCATCTTGACATCAAGAGGCTCCAGGTGGGTTTTAAGGACATTTTGTTAATCGTAGTCTGGTGCTATCAGACTCCTTCTGCCATGGGCCACCATTGGAGGCTCGCTCTCCTACAATCTCTTACTGGAGAGAAAGTCTTACTAGTCTCCAATAAAGCCTATTATTTGGAATCCAAACACGCTTCGTATTTGGAAAAATTAGCAGAAGGTCCAAGGCGTGGGATGGCTGCATGCACATTCCTGCTCTACTCCAAGGGATTTGGAGAGGGCTGCTAATCTCCTGCAGCACGAACCCCGTATCTTGGGCGGCGTGCACCCAAAGGCATCGCGGGGAGAGCCCCCCCCCTTGGAAATTACATCCCGGCTTTGCCGCTTGACAGCCAGCGGCTTCAACCTGGCCCTCAGAGGCAGGCACAGCGGGGCAAAGGGGACCCAGCTTGGCTACCTGCCTTCGCGCCAACCTGCAAATGGGGAGACTCCTCCTATCCCAGCAGGCTTTAATCCGCCCTCCCCAGACGGTGACGTTTGCCTGTTTTCCAAGGCTCCGACCGGGTGTCGTTGTGGAGGTTTTAAGTTAGGTTTGACTGTTTCCGAGTATGACTTGATGGCTTGTTGTCCCCTATAACTATCATTAAGTGTTGGACCTGATGATTCTTGACTCTTGACGAAGGTATCTTTTCTTTTCTGCACACTGAGAGCATTTGCACCAAGACAAATTCCTTGTGTGTCTAATCACACTTGGCCAATAAAGAATTCTATTCTATTCTGTTCTGTTCTATTCCAATTTCTATTCTAATTCTAATTTTCATATTCTATTCTATGTGACCGTCTGACAAGCCAAAATAATAGGGAGGGAATAATAATTCCCAAAATAATAATGGGAGGGAAAGGCGATTTTGCAGTATCCTTCCCCTGCCACGCCCACCAAGCCACGCCCACAGAACCGGTAGTAAAAAAAAATTGAATCCGGATCCCTGGTATCCAGCCCCCCCCCCCCCTCCCCGGCCCTCCCCTTTCCCTTCCCTGCTGCCAAGATCCATCTCCTTGGAGGGAGGGGTGTTCCCAAGTGGTATTTTTGAGCTGTGTTTCCCCCTGAGGAATGAGAAATAAGTCTCTTTGCTATTTCCTCTTTCGGATCAGCCATATCTTTAACTTTCTTTTCTTTTCTTTTCTTTTCTTTTTCTTTTTTGCTTAAGAGCCAGGCAACATTTTACAAACTTTGCTTAAACGCCACAAAGTAAGCGGACAATATAACTTTCCGGAAACACAAACTGAAAAAAATAAAATAAAAAATGAAACGTGCTTGTTTGGAAAAAAGAAAGAGAAAAGGAGGCCCTGAGAAAAGCTTGGCCGATTTCTCTGGGGACTGCACCCCCCCCCCCCCCACTTAGGGGGAGGAGAGTCGGATCCAGTCTGCCCCTCCCCTGGTAGAATTGGCTCTCGGCTGCAAACTAGCAAAGGCCTGGCTTCCGAGAATTGGACCCCACGTACACAGACCCAATTCTGCCTTGCAGCTCCTGCCGATTCACCTCCCCTGCCGCACAGGTGCCCCTCACCCCATCCCACCCAGCCAGCCGAGGGAGCTATCTGGCTACAGAGAAGCCCCCCCCCGGGGGGGGGAGCCTCGGGAAGGCAAGGCCAGCCTCTGCCAACTCCTCCCTGCTCAATAGGTGCCCCTGCAGGGTGACTCACCGAAGGAGGAGAAGCAGCGCCCGTCAGAGACTGACGTGCCATGATGAGCTGGGCAGCTGCCCAGAGAGCCTCGTGGTGGAAGAGGGTGACCTCATGGAGTGGCGGAGGAAGGGGGTTCTGGGCCCAGCTCTGGAAGGCCAGCGGAGATGGCGGAGATCCGGGCCTGGAAGGGAAGGCCCGGGCCTTGGGGGGCTTCTTGGAGTAAGTCCAACGGGCTCCGAGGGACCCCCGGAGGCCGAGGCAGTGGGAAAAGCTGGGGGCACAAGCCCAAAACACACAAGAGGCACCCCAATTCTCTTTCCGGGGAAGCCTGGCCAATGAAAACTGGCCCTTGCCGTCATCTGATGCCTCCCTTCTGGGCAACCCATTGGCAGAAAATCCTGACACCCTCCGATCTTTTTAAAGGGAGGGGCGGGGCTTCCGCAGAACCAGGTGGAACTGGATTTACCTGTCCTGACTTGGCCACACCCCCACCTGCCCAGGGAGCTGCATCACCTCC